ACACTTGATGTGGGGGGTATGTTAGCTGACTGACATAGGATGGATGAAGTTAAAAAAGAGCCAGTGTTAGTCAAACGGAAACATGGCTTCACCAGTCAGTGAAATCCATAACAATTAGTTTGAGCTAGCCACATCGGGAGGTGTAGGTTTCCTGGTTGTGATAGTAGAAACCAATCTTGTAGCTGATAACTTCCAGGACTTCAATACTCTCGATGTTTTGAAATGTCTTAAAACTCTTAAGCCCTCACATAGTCTTGGCCCTGATAGCATACCTGCATATGTTCTAAAACAATGTGCAGATGCTTTATGTTCTCCTCTAACTAATATACTAAATGCTTCTTTCCGTGAAAACGTTGTACCTGTTCCATGGAAAGACATTAAAATAGTCCCTGTCCCTAAACCTGGCAATAGCAAGAACGTAAAGTTCAGACCCATCGCCATCACTTCCCCGTTTCTAAAGCTCATGGAAAAACTAGTACTTCTTAAACTCGAACCCTCCCTTAAAAGCTTCGAAGACCCCAAACAATTTGCCTACAGACAGGGTAGGAGTACTTTAGACGCTGCAGCCGTCTTACACAACAGTATTATCTCATCATTAGACAAAGGTGCCAAATATGTCCGCTGCACGTTTCTTGACTTTACTTCTGCTTTCGACTCTGTACCTAGAAGTCTCTTGCTAAATAAGCTCTCCATGACACAAACCGAGTCCTGGGTCACTAACTGGTTGCATTCCTACTTTTCAAACAGAATGCAGTACACCGTATACAAAGGCCAATCCTCCTCTGCTGTGCTCACAGAAGCTGGTGTCCCCCAAGGTGCTGTACTCTCCCCACTTCTCTTTTCTTTCTTTCTACATGACCTACCGTCTTCAAATGACATTAACTTTGTCAAATATGCTGATGACCTAACTGTATCTTTACCTGTCAAATGTCAAAGTGACTGCTCTAAACTAAATGGCTTCTTATCGGAAATTAGCCAATGGTCCAAGGAAAACGGTCTAACCTTAAACCCCTCCAAATGCCAAACAGTTAATTTCACCCTTAGGCATAAATCTGACCTAAACAAACTGGTTAGCACTCACGAGGTGTGCAACATAGATGGCAGTGAAATAGAAACCAAGTCGGAAATTAAATACCTAGGCGTCACTCTATCTTCTGATCTTTCCTGGTCGTCTCATATCTTGACGATTTCCAAGAAAATATACCGTCTTACCTTCTACATCAAGAAGTTAAGACATTCTGGTGTAACCCAACCCTTACTCCTACAATTTGTTAACTCCCGTATTCTGCCTATTATTCTCTATTGCTCCCCCTTAGTCTTTCCTGGGCTATTGAAGAAAGACTATACCTTATTACGTAGGATGTTAAAGGTTGTCAGCAGGGTAAGCAGCTTGCCACTTAGCCAGCTTGTTAATATTCTGGTGGACAGGCATATGGACTCATGTGAAAAATGGGCGAAATCCATTTTATCTGACTCACAACACCCTCTACATTCACAACTCTCCCCATGTATCTCTTCAGGGAAAACAAGAAGCCTATATAGGAAACTATATGCCCGCACTAGTAAGTACAAAAACTCATCCATACCCTACCTAGCTCGTGTTCTGTGCGATAAAGAATGCATCAGGCATGAAACCTTTAACTTATTAAATAGTCAGTAGAACCAATGGATCTCGTCTTTCCAACTCACATCATTTATAGGTACAACGTTTTCTCTCTCTTCATTCTGTATTTATTTTTGTTATGTGCTGTTTTGTTTCTCTCTTCCTTGCAAACTCTACTTAAAACATTCTTGTTCGTTCTTTCACACTCTGTACATCTCGAACATTTTGCTATCGCTTACGCCAGTAAATATGCTAGTAGTATCTACTTTTCTAACACCTTCAAACACTTTAATTTTGGCTTTGCTACCGACATACTAATATGTTGTTGAGATAACTTTAAACTATGTAGAACTTTATTTATTGTTAATGTAAAAAACTGGATGCAATATTGTAGTAAAATGCTGAGAATTCCATTCTGTATCACAAGTACTGATTTGGAATAAAGCTTATGTTATGTTATGAAGGCTGGAGACACTTAGTGATATGCCTGAAAATCGTTCTCAATGACTGATGCTTATGCATTCAATAAAACTCGATTGTTCTTCCATATTACTATTCCGTCTGCTTCACTCCCATTTCTTTTTATTATCCATCTTGTGAATCTCTTTTTACTCTCTTGTCTTGCTTTGTGTGGTACATGGAGGAAGTGTGGCAATTTGAAATGCTGTACATCTGTTCATAGTTCTGTGTTGAAATCAGTTAGTCGGTTAGTTTGATAGGGATGAATCACATACCATACGTTCTAAGGTTACTTACTCCTCAAGGTTTTCAGTTTTTTGTCACACCCCAAGGAGAATAATACTATTTGTTTATATTATACCCTAAGTTGACAAGTCGGTGGTCTGTAAGTCGCTAAAGTCGGTTAGCGTGGATTCTGTTCTATTTCCGCTTCACTAAGCCTCTCTCGCACACAATAGATAGTAGGCACTGGTAGCTCTTTGCTAACTGTACAGGGATGCAAGTAACCTTTGAGTATTTTATTCACTATTCATTTCATTTTAATGAATTCCATTATAGATAAGATTTTATTTTGATAAATCGCACAGTGTTTACAGTTATATGAACTGTAAACACTGTGCGATTTATCAAAATAAAATCTTATCTATAATGGAATTCTACTCTACCACAGTGCCCAAGTTTTATGCTTATATCAACATTTTAATGAATGTGTGAAGTATAAATAATAAGACCTGGATACATTGTTTTTTCGATAAAGAAAGGAAGACGAAATTTGCAGTATAAAATGTGATATCATCATTCTATTTCACAGGTTCTCATCAGCTGCACACCCCTAACTGAAATTACAATGGTTACATACAGATGATGATAATAACATACTTTAATGTTTGAGTGGTAGTAGAAAAGAGATACCATAAAATTGGCGCATCGAAAATAAAAGCATTACAGTTTATTTAGTTTACGTTTTCATTATCAATTTGTACGCTTTTAAAGTTGAAAAGAGGGGGGGGGAGGGGTAAGACAGAAAACTGAAAAAAATTGATTAACAGAACAGTGTTAGCTTGTAGGTTCATATATCAACTCAAAATACAAAAGCGGTTACAGCTTGTTAGATTAAGATTTGTTCAGTGAGTTGAGATCACTGAATTAGGTGACTAATTGTTGCAATCAAAATCCAGTTACCAAGGGAGTTAGAGGTTAATCACACTCTCTTTCTGTATGCATAAGTCTAGTTGGTTTGGATCATTTGATTGCGATCGCTTTGGCAAATCGTAGCAGATTTGCTGTCCTTTGTCTATTTTATACTTTGAAGGACTTAGAAATCTCTACGAGATGTCTGGTAATTGCACTCTAAGAATATTTGCTTCCCTTCAGGCACAGGTTTTTTGGAATATGTTCAGAAAACCGAATAAAAGCCCTTCTTTGTGTCCTTCCAATGTACTTGCTCCCGCAAATGCAGGTAAATTCATAAACGCAGTTGGAGGTGACGTCGGCAGGGTATTTATCCAGTTTTGAGTGGATTATAGAAGGGGTGGTGCTGTATACTGTTATGGGTTTTGCTGCCGGGAAGCTTCTATTTATTGCACCTTTCAGTCTTTTGTCAATCTTTTGTGACCCTGCATCTCCTTTGTATGGTAGACAGATAAACACTTTTTTCTTTTCTACAGTTGGATGCTTTTCTTTCTTATCGTCTTCTCTGCTATACTTCTGTATAAATCCTTTAGGGTATCCAATTTCCCTTTGGCATTTCTCGACGAAATGTAATTCTTCTTCTACCTTGTTTGGTGAACGTAGCTTCCTGGCTGTGTCGTACATAGTCATCATTAATCAACATTTAAAGCTTATTGGACAAAAGCTGTTATAGTGAAGCTATTCCCCAGTCCCGGTTTCTTTTCTATAGATGGACTTTTCGATCATGCCTTCGTTTGTTCTTTTTACATTTAGATCCAGGAAATTGAACTCATTATTATGTTCATATTCCATGGTGAATTTGATATTTGTATGGATCTCATTTAGGCGATCATAAAGTGCCGATACGTGATTCATGTCTTTGCAAACAACAAATGTGCCATCAACATATCGGCGATAGTAGGTTGTTCCATCGATAGCAGAACTTAGTTGTGTCTGTTCAAGGTAGCCCATGAAGATATCAGCCAGGTTAGGTCCCAGAGGTGAACCCATCGCGACCCCATCAATTTGTCGGTAAAGCTGATTGTTGAATTTGAATTGCATATCTCTTGTGCAGAGCAGCGGTAGTCGCTTCATCTCTGTTGCCGGTAATGGTAGTAGATCCGTTTGTTTACAAATGATATCAATTGTTTCTATCAGCGGTACGTTTGTAAACAAGGAGGTCACGTCATACGATACCATGAGTTTGTCTGATATGTCAATATTGTCTACTTCCTTGGAAAATTGTTAGCTATCCTTCAGCATATGGGTTGCAAATTTAATTCGAATTGCCTCTATAGAATCAGCTAACCATCTAGCTAGCTTTTGCCATGGTGAGTCAATCATTGACAAGATTGGCCTTAAAGGCAAATATGATTTATGGATTTTCAGTAGGCCGTACATAGACGACGGGCGTCCACCTTATGACTTCAGTTTTGTTGTATGTTTCTCTGTTGATTAGTTTCTTCATTAGAAGTTCTTTGAGACATTTATTTATTTTATTTTCAAACGATGTTGTGGCATCTTTTTTGTTATCTACTTGGAATTTTTCTTTGTCGTTTAGAATTGTCATCATTTTGTGTATATAATCAGCCTTTATCAGGTCTAAATATGACGATTTCATCGTTCATTAAAGTATGTTATTATCGTTTATATAACCATTGTAATTTCAGGTAGTCTACAGCTAATGAGAACATTGTTGTTGCTTTTATTTTTTACAATTTTATTTCCCATCTCCTATCGTTTTGTATTTCCCTCCTTTTCTGTCTAGTGTATCGATGTAAGCACAATGCTGGCTGAAGCGATCCGTCGAACACACAACGGTGAATCTGTCTCCTATCTATTCAATCATGTCCCATTATAAAGAACAAAACTAAACAAAACGACATCTTATAACTATAATTCTGCACAGATTTAATTCCATTTTTTCAATGTACTAATTCAACCATTTTATATAATAATACTAATAATAATAATATTAAAATTAATACAATAATAACATCTCTTGTTCATAAAAAGACATCGATTCAAATAATTATTCTTCTAACTGTTATCTCAAAATTCCCCCCCCCCCCATTTAGTCCATCTTCCTTGGTGTGTGTGTGTTTTATGCCCACCAACACGATGAGTTCCTTTTGTTTCAGTGTGTATGTATGTATGTATGCATGAATGAATGAATGAACGCGTGTCTTTGAAGAATACCTTTCAAAACTTTGTTGTCTCTGTCTTCATCTCTTTTTCCATAAATTTGTCATTCGTGTCATTCATTCAGTGTGAATCTCCAAATATCTAATGAAAATTAAATTAATATAAGCGAAATTTCCACAGTATACCCTACCCCCACCCCTACTACAGTGTGACAGAGTTTTGTTATAAGTCGCCGCCACCGCTGACGTCGACGATGAATGATTTCATTGGCAATCATTGGTTAGAAAGAATGTTTCTTCTCCTTCTTCTTCTTCTTCACATCTTCAATCAAGTTCTATATGTCTATTAGAGTCGATAAACTATCCTTTTTTTCTTAGTTTGTTATTATTATCATCATGATTTTCTTGTTCTGTCGTCGTCGTTATTGTTGTTTTTTTTAAAGGAAAGAAATTGTTTACAACTCTGGTGTTATTTTGTTTTGATTTATTTATTTTAAAAAAATTTTTATTTATGCTTCATTTATTTGTTTGTTTGTTTGTTCGCTTATTTGGTTTGTTAAGGAGGAAACATATTAAATAAGGTGTGAGTTGTTACTGTTGCCAGTGTAGTGTAACAGTGCGACCGACTCCATTTACCTTCTTGAAATGACCAATCGGAGTAAATCAGGTGAAATAGCGCTAAAATGCTCGCCAACAACCACGCCTTAGGTGGTTTGGGGTTCGACCCCGACCGCTGACGCACTCCTCCTTTACGTCGCTAAGCCAACAATAGGACTGAAACAGAGGGAAGGTCGGGCACATGAGGTTGGCTAGCAACACCATCCCGTGAAAAAATAAACAAACACCACTGCTACAGAAACTTCAAGCTGAATCTAGCTTGAAGCCCCCTATGTTCCACTAGGGGGGTTCCTTTCGGTTCCTAGTGGAACATAGGGCTTCAACTGAACCTCTCCCCTCTTGCTTCTGTCTTCCTTCTGCTGTACTTTTCACCTGCATCCATGTTAGTTAGTCCATACTCTTTTAACTCCTTTTCACACGATCTCCTTCTTGCAGCGACGACCCACTCGCGGCTTCCCTTTCGAGTTCCACTCGAGCAATAGCCTGACGCGCGCACGATGTCACCCAGTGGCCTCCTCAGCGAGTGTCCAATCCATCCCAATCCACTATCTCCTGCATATTTTCTGGTTGGCGATTGCTTCTTGTTTTGTTTGTTCCTTCCCATAGTTTCTTGTTGGTGGTGATTCTTTTCGGCCCGGCCATCTGATTGATCTTCAGTATAGAGCGAAGACGGTTGTTGGTTGATAAAGGTATGCAACAGGGTGTTGGAAATATTCTTTGTGACCCGCCCGCCAAGTTTATGATCCGTATAGAAGAACTGGCTAACTTGACGTTGTTTGTATTGAAAATCCGACTGAATTTCGTTGTTGATGATGACTTGAGTGACGAAGATTTCCAGATTGGTTTCAGGCTGATGAGTGAATGTGTGTCTCGCTTTCCCGATTCTCGCTCGATTTGATATCCTCGTCCGTTCCGACTTCCTGTAGTTGAGACAATGCTTCCTAGCCAGTTGAGTGAATGAAGTAACTTCTTTCAAATCCCTCCCGTTGATGTTGATTGGCGCTGGGTGTTGCTGTTTTTGTTGTTCGTTGGTTGGTTATTTTCACAACCCCGTGTTGTCTTTGTTCACCTGGAGTCCTGTCTTCACTACCTTCTTCTTTGACCAGTTTGTCAGTTTTCGCTTATGGGTCTTCGATTTTGTGTGACATTAAAGATAAATCATGGCTGCGCGAAATCCAGGTCTTCTAGGTTCATACCTTAGTCTGATTCATTTCAGTATCTTTTAGCCTTTAATTCAACTGTAGGCGCTATAATCCAGCAGTAGACATAGCTAACCGACTTAATCACTTGACTTTCAGTCGCAGTGGATCCGTGGTTCGAATCCTGTTCCACCTACTTCAGCTTGGGCAACTGCATAGTACAAACAGCTCGTACAAAACAAGTGTGGCGCATAGCCTGGGACGTGGTAGACCTGTTCCGGGGACTGAGTACAAACATACTACAACAGGAGTATTATTACATCGAATCTGCTTCAATCATTGAGTGAAATAACTTGACATGGAGTTCATGACTTCACAGTAAAATACCAATCTTCTTTATTCAGACAAACTAAAGAGGGAAGTAATAATGACATATACAGACGTACTTAAACTGTACTGAAGTTTTGGTGGATAGTGATTATTGGTGTGGAATCCAGGATGCGCATTTCGTCCTATTCGGGACTCGTCATCTGGATGTACCCGAATCTGTATCTGAATTAACTAATCTGTTGAAGTTTGTTGAGTGTTAACAAGAAAAGTTGGTGGAACTTTATTCGGAAACACACAGAAGTTGATTGCTTAACAAAATTGTTATTATGCGATATATATATCCCATTTGAAAAGTTGATTTATCTGAAGACTGGTTATTTTCGTTTGAATGATATGTGTCACATCTCACAAAAGGTCAACACCAGTGTTACTCAACGATCACAAGTAATTCCATGTAGTCGGCGATGAGCCACAACTACTGTGTAAGAACTGGTCCTATTGCCTACAATTACCCCCAGAATTCAATGTGTGGGTGGCGGGATTCGAACCCATTGCCGGTGGGTTGGAAGTCGAGCGCCTACCTAAACCGATGAACCACAGCTCCACCTCAGTTATTCGGAATAACTTTCTTTTAAATACTAGGTTAAAAGCCACATTTATTGTGTGTGAGAACTTGTGAAGTTAGTGAAGGGGGGGGAGCGGAACTCGAACCCAGGACCGATTAGCTTAAGGTCAACTTCCTAAACCAATGGGTGACATCTCTTTGTGTGTGATACGCTGACTGTGAAATTGCTAGACAATCAAGCTTCTTGAATGGACACCAGTACATTTCTATTATTTGTTTTTATATCAAGTTAGATTCCTCCACAAGTTGACATTGATTCGAGGTTCCATATTGATTTGGAAATCTTCACTGACAGAGTCCAGGATTTTCGGGTTGTGAGGCAAGCAACTGGTATTGAGTACCACCATTCTTCGTATTCAACTTAGTGGAGTTGAACAATCAGGACTCTTTGAGAGTGGCAAGGCTGAATGTTAACGACATTCAGTTGAATTGATAGGAGCATACTGATGGTATAATGGGATGTTATTAGAGTCTAGTAAACCTCTTTTTGGTATAAGTGTGTCCAGAGTCCTAACTGACTCATAATCATATGCCAATTTACGCCATCTCTGGCGCAGACGTGATATCTAGTTGTCGACCAAATGGCGTGTGTACTTCTCAGTAGTTCGCTCTGTCCCTAATGACTGTGAGATATGGCCACTGAAAGTGGAAGGTAAGAAAAGGTTAGCTATCTTTAATCATAGTTGTCTGTGTTCCATCTCCCGTGATAAGTTGTGTAATAAGGTGAACAATATTGAGGTTAGGCGACCAGTGAATGGTAGGTAAGAAGGGGGAAATCCATCAACGAGATTGTGAAGCAGCTGCACCGATTGAGATGGTTAAGACATGTGTGACGCATGCATCCTCTAGTCATCGATCGCCTTTCTCAACCGATGGGCAATGTTGGCTAACTGACATAGGATGGATGAGGTTGGAAAAGAGCTAGTGGGGGTCAAACGAAAACATGGCCTCACGAGTCAGTGGAAAAATCCATAAGAGTTAGTTTAAGTCAGCCGCATCGGGAGGTGTAGATTTCCCGACTGGTTGGGGTCCTCAGGATGGCTCAAATCAATGAAAGCTGGAGACAGTATTTTCAGGGCTATTATCAGCGGCGTCAATCTATGCCTACAGAAAATAAACCAACTGTTAGACATTACTATTATTATGGTTAGAAGCATAGATAATAAGTAAGATGTTGTTTTTTAAAAATGTCACGTGAACAAACATTTATTTATTCTTTTCTACTTATAGATGACTTTTTAAGCTATCTATCTACTCATGCAAATGATACAACATGTCACATATTCAGTGTCATTCCACGTAAGAATTTGTAGTCACGTGAAATTTATCATTACAACTATTGATCCAATGTTGAGTACAGTTAAAAAAAAAAGATTTTTGTTTGATAGTCGACAAAAGTCATTTTTTGATTCATTTCAGTTTTAAGATGCATTTCAGAGTGTGTTGAGTATCCCCTAAAATGAATAAGTCTCACTATGTATTGTAACATTTTGTTATCATTCCTTGCGCTCCTAAAGGAAGGGGGGTTAAGGGAGTTCTGAAGGGTCAGTAGTGATGGTGTTGCTACTAGCCTCACGGTCAGCCTTTTCTTATTTCCAAGCCTACTACCGGCTAGATGAGGACCTCCTTTGTGATTACTGCTGGACCAGGGGCGCATTATATATGTCTATAAATTCCCTCATATATGAATGAACTATAGCCTGTATACTAATGGCATTTTTAGTCCTACTTTGGGACTGTTCAGCAGTAGGCTTGTATGACCACTCCACTCAAGGGGACAAATATGGGATATTGAAGTCATGAGGTGAGCATGTTACAATTCAGTCTGTCAGGTGGAATCATGGTTAGTTTATAATTTCTGACTTTTGGTTACTTCGTCATATTGCGCCCTCTTCGATCAATCCAAATTGGGAAGGTGTAGACTGCCTAGTTGAGGTGGTCGAGACTCTAAAGTCGAAGGGTTGGAGATTGTTGATGGTGTTGGTCAATACTGGTCTGTGCGGCACAAATGCGTCCAGTCTTTGTGATCTTCTGGATCCATTATTTTATTATTATTTTCTTCTTTAACTTTCCTAGTGGAACATAGGGCTCCAAGCTAGTGGCCTGAAGTTTCTGTAGCAGTGTTTGTTTTTACAGGATGGGGTCGCTAGTCTCATGACCAACTTTTCCTCTTTACCGATCTTACTACTGGCTTAGCGAGGTAAAGGAGTGCGTCGGTAGACAGAAGTGGAACCTGTACCACCGACGCCTAGTTCCATTAAATTCTTTGTTATTATTTGAAGAGAAGTCTTGTTCTGTTGGATTGTGTGTGTACCAGTTCAGGTTGCTACACTTGAAGATGGTTGGAGGCAATCGGCTACAGGAAGCCTTGGATCTAGGTTTCGTGCTAGTTGGCACCCACCAGTAGTCCGCAAGGCCTATCTGCAGCCTTGAAGGGAAGAACTCATGTCCCTTCTGAGATTTGAACACGTGTCATCCAGTGCCACCTGCAGTCAGTCAATGACGTTACCACTGAGCTATTCGGGCTCGTGATTGACCTCCTGTAGAACTATAGTAGTGGATACTTTGATTGGACACTAGTAACTAGTACGATGTAGGTCAAACACTATAATCGATACGGTTTTACGGGAGTAAGCATAATCAGATCAAGATTAGTGTGGATTTTCAGCTTATATGAATTGATAATAATAATTGAACACATTTCTACCAAAGTGAACTATTTTTAAACGATTCCATCAACATTTTTTTGTAAACGGAGATTTTTAGCATTTTGAGGACTATTTCCAGATAACCTACCTAACGAAGTGACTCAAATCAACAAATATTGACTTTATGGATTGGCGTCATGTCTTCATTCACTCGTGACTCATTTCCAACCTAATACTATATAAGACAACAGAGGGATCTCGTTCATTGACGTATGCAGTAGACTTTCAATCAATAGATCTTTAGTTCGAGCCCATCCGCATCTATTTCAGCCTCAGCGATTGGGTAGTGTCCTCAGTTTTCAGACAATACTTATGTTTAAGTGTTGGTTTGTAGGGATTCGGTTGGTTACAGGATTTCATCATGAGCTGACATTGCTTATACAACTACTGGAAAACCTGCTAGGGAGTACTGGACAGCTGTTTTGTCCACCTAGCTTGGGACTCTTCATCAGTATTCACCCTCGAAAAGTGTTCGAATCCAGGACCTTCCGGTTACAAGGCTAGCGAGCTCTTAGACTATTGAACCACTGGGATCTGATCCTATGGTCCTTAAATTCTAACTTCTACCAATTCACGACATAGCACGACCATTTCTTCTGCGATGAGTGAATTACTGCCTCATCTTCAACCTGGTGTACCCTACTGGTCACAGCTTCCCAGTAGAAGCCCAGGTTAACTTCCTGAATAGGGCCAGTCGCTAGTGAGCATCAGGTTAATCAAACACAGCCCAGTGGCTCAATGGTCTACAAGCTCATTGGCAGTGTAACTAGAAGGTACTGGATTCGAACCTTTTTGGAGAATGCGTACTGATGAAGAGTCCCAAACTAGGGCGAAACGGCTGTCCAATACTCCCTGGCAGGTTCTCTAACTGATGTCAGCTCGTGATGAAATCCTCCATATTGTAGATTTCAGCAGCAAACTAGATACCTTCTTAAGAGACTTATCCTTTACTCTTTTCGAACCTAAGTCAGTGGGTGCTCAAGTGACGATTCCTAAAAGTCTCACAATCTTCATTTTTGCGTATCCATTCATCTGGATAATACGCAGAGGATTGTTCACGGAATTGCCTCAAGCGGTAAATTTTTTGTCCTTGAACTCAATCAGATATTAATTCCAAAGCTTAAGCTACCCTCTAATGAGTTCTCTCCTATTCGACTTGGTATAAAGTCCGGACGTTAATAGCCTTAATATTCAGTTCGCATCGTGGATTCACACCAGGAACTGTGTTTCTTTAGCTCACGAAGTTGGTAGTGGTCACACATATAAAAAGAAGGGAACAAACATTTTGGGAAAAATAGTGTTTGCTCGATGGAAGTAAGAAAAGGCAGGTGTGTAATGAACAGAAGACCTTTGTGAGGTTATGAAACTGTGTGTGTGTGTGTGTGCGTATTTGACACTTAGACACTACGTACACAGTGGAAGTTGAAGTATCTAAAATAAAAAAAACTATTAGTGTGTCGCTTGATCACATAGCCCCTGGACGCCATATAGGAATAAGTCGTCGTTGAACAGCTTTCACACAAGGTTTCACCGAGAGCTGCCTTCACCACAGGACAACTTGGGATGTGAAGATTTTCCTACCCAATCCTCCTTAGCTCTGAATATCAGAATACTTGACTTGCTGGTTGCTTACAGGAAACACCCTAATGCTATCAAATCCCAGTCCCTAGAAAGTATGATCCCATTTCCTTACCCCTGTTACAGGTGATATCTAAAATCATCTATTCACCTCTGTTTGCATTAATACTGAATCATTTAGTCAATTTTTGTGCGTTGGCGGTACAGCGGTTAGGACGCTCGCCGACCATTCACATGATCCGGAGTTCGACCACCGACGCACTCCCTTACCTCGCTAAGCCAGCAATAAGAATGGTAAAGAGGATTGGTTGGGCATGAGCCTAGAAACCCCATCCTGTAAAAGTAAACACTATTCCTACAGAGGCTTCAAGCCTCGAGCTTGAACCCCCCGCTATGTTCCACTGCCACCGTGAAGGGAATAAAAACTTTGATCGTAAAATTAGAATATAACTGACCTTATCATTTAGATACGGACACTTGTACATATTTTTTTAAAGGTGAGAACTAACATTAATAATTGTAGACTCTAAACACTTTACCTCACAGTGATTATGCAGTAACCATGTATTTGTTCTGCCTGAATTAGAACTTCTACACCTTTTTTGTCGTAGAAACAAACTGAAGCCTTTTCAAAAGGTTCACCTAGTTACACCATCTGTTGCATGACAGCTCATGATGAAATCCTATAACCAATCAAATCCCTACAAACCAACACTTGAATATCAATGAGATGCTCATTAGCGACTTCCCCTATTCAGGTAGGTAGTTACCTGGGGTTCTGGTGGGACATCGTAACCAGTAGGGTACAGCAGGTCGGGTTTGATGACAAATACTCGCCGAAGACATTGGCTAGCGGTTGCGCTATATCGTGAATTGGCAGAAGTTGGAATTCATGGACTGGCGACTGCATTCGGTCCCAGTGGCTCAATGGTCTACGTGCTCGCCTTGTAACCAGAAGATCCTGGGTTCGAACTCCCTGTGGTAGGTGCGTATTGCTGAAGAGTCCCAAACTAGGACGGAACAGCTGTCCAGTACTGCGTGGCAGGTTTTCTAATGGTTCTCTAACCAATGTCAGCTCATGATGAAATCCTGTAACCAATCAAATCCCTACAAAGCAACACTTGAATATTATGTAACTATTTATTTCAGTGTCTTAATCCCTGTGTGGTAAAGTGTGGTAATCTCCACTTCATATTTTGGCTCTACTATTTTTTTTTCGCTTTGTCTCTTCAGTTTCTATGCTCTTCCTCTATTACGTCACCTTAAACTGTTCCCGGTATGATTTCACTCGTTCCACTTGTCATTCCTAATATGCTATATTCATTGTTCAGTTCAAGTTTTTGAATCAGTCCTCTATGAGTGAGGATAGAATTCAGGTTCAGCTTTACAGATAACTCAGACAGAAGTCATTAATCAATAATTTATCGATTAATTCTAATATGCCATCTGTATTATGTCTATACTGATTGAATGATTGGTTATTGATTATTGTTTATTCAGACCACTAATTGAACTGTTGTTTCACATTTGGTATTTGTATAGATCCAAATGATTTCAAGGTAGATTTTATCACCAAATAACATTCATCTCAGAACCAATAAAAGTCAAGGAGCATCTGGGTAGACGGTCTCCTTCTAGATGGAGTCCAGTCAGGTCTACAAGTGACATATTTCTGTCACTTATAGAAGACTCTTTGATAAGCGACTACTACTAATAATAATGATAATGTCAGCTCATGATGAAATCCTTCATCCAATCAAACAAAAAATCCCTACAAAACCAATACTTGAAAATTATTCTGATGCTCACTAGCGACTGGCCTTATTCAGGCAGTTAACCCGGGGTTCTAGTGGGAGGCCGTGACCAGCAGGGTACAGAAGCTTGAAGATGAGGTGACATTGCGAAATGGTCGCGCTATGTCATGAATTGGCAGAAGTTAGAATCCATGGACTGGCTGGCCATTGGATCGGGTCCCAGTGGCTCATTGGTCTACGAGCTAGCTCGCCTTGTAACCACGAGTTTGATGGTTCGAACCCTGGTGGTGGGTGCGTACTTCTAAAGAGTCCCAAACTAGGACGGAGGAAACGGCTGTCCAGTATTCCCTGGAAGGTTTTCCAGTGGTTCTCTAACTGATGTCAGCTCATGATGAAATCCTCCATGCAATCAGACAAAAATCCCTATAAAACCAATACCTGAAAATAATAATAGTAATAATGGTAAGGTCAATTCTTATCTATTATTTATAATGATCTATCCTTTTATCTTTCTTTATGCATAGGTATGCGCCTACTGACCATTATCTGATATGCTTGAAGGGGAATCCATTGAAATTATCGCCTCTAAAATTCATCGATTACAAAAATCCCATTTCACTGATCAACCATTATTACCGTTACTGTTGTTATCCGATCAAAATTCTTTGAATCAAGACAATTTTCCAGTTGGTGTAAATTGTACAAATAATACTTATACAACAACAACAACTACTACTAATTCCATTTCTGCAAGTAGTAGTAATCATAGTAAAGGTAATGCTGGTTCCATTCAAGGTCGAAATACTTCTTCATCAGTTCATCAACATCATGTTAAAGATTCGCCAAAGTCAAATGCGGCTAGTTTGTTGAAGCCTAATGCTGATACAAAGGTAATTTACTTTCTACTTTTTTTTGTTTTAATTTAAAATAATGCACAAAATTATGGAAGTGTAACGGCAAAAGACAAGGGCTAGGAAACAGATCCTTCATTGAGAAAATCAACAGATATTTATAGATTTTTATGTACATTATTATTAGCAGAGAAACAGCGTCTTTTGATTGGTCGTTTTCTGTCATCTCTTTGTGTCTGTTTCTTTGAAGGTCGGACCGTGTGTCTGAAAATCGTATCTGCCCACGTGAAGTCTACTGTGATTGGTTGTTGTGTTAGTCTTTGTCGTGACCAAGATTTGGGATGTAAACATTGACGTAAATTGCTGTCTACCGATTTTGGCTAGCAGACAGCTCTCACTATAAAAGTACGGCTCATTTCGGCTTTAACACTAGACTTTCACAGGCATTGGATCCAAATTTTGAATGTCATCCCACCTACTTGAGTTTTCCTGATCAATTGAGTGGTAGTGGTATTGTAACAACAGAAGACAAGAGCCAGGCAACAGATCGTTTATTAAGGAAATCAATGCATATTTTTAGATTTTCATGTACATATAATAGATTATTGTAAGCAAACAAACACAGTCCTCTGATTGATTGTTTCTCACAGAAAGTTAACCTTGCATCTCTTTGTGGCTGTTTCTTGAATGTCAGATTATCTATATGTTAACTGTATCCGCCTATGCAAAGCCTTTGTTCTCATTTTTCTCACGACCAATATTGGGGACGTAAACATTGACGTAAATTACTGTCCACCAACTTTGGCTAACAGCTAGCTCTCACCACAGTATCAGCAACCTTTACACTCAACCCGGTACTTATAATTGTTAACTGTGAAGAATAGCAACCAAAATCTTTGTTTTTTTACTAGAGGAACATAAGAGCTTCATAGTAGCCGTGGTACGTTTTTTCCACCTCGTGGGAATGAATGTTAACCTCACGTTATCCAACTTCCCCTTCTTACCAAGCTTATTTTCGGCTTAGAAAGGCTTTAGAGCGTGTAATTCTCGAGAATCGAACTCTTAACCGTGTATGTGACGGGGATTGGCGAAGATCCTATCACTGGACCAGTGACAGGCAACCAGAATCAACATCCTGTAAACTAGCCTTGAACAGCCAATCTTTGAAATCGGTGATGTTTCCTCATCATGTGACTTCTCTAGTTGAGTTTTCAAGCCAGCTGTTAGTGAGTCATTCAACTGTTAGTTGCTATTCTTTATATTTTTGCTGCCTGATTGAATGTCCATCCAGTATTGCTAAAAATCGCCGTTGAATTTTTTCGCTATTGGGTGAATAGCCAACGAGTCTTTGTCACAACATAAAGGTCCAAGGTTCGATCTCTCTTAGGCCAGTTACTAGGTGCCACTGAAGTGTCCCAAAGCAGGATGAAACAGCTGTTCAGTGCACCTTTCCTGGCTTCCAGTGATCTCTCTAACTGATTTTAATTTGTAATGAATGTCTAACAATTAAGATTGATCCAAAATCCACACAAATTCTATTATCTGAATGTCAATCGTCAGCTTTCTGATGGCTGTTGGGTGCGTGGATGTTCTGAAGATTTATTACGAGTTGATAAAGTTGGAATTCAGAGGTCAGTGAGTTCCACCAGCTCAAGTGGCTGAATGGTGAACAAGCTTGGTCTCATAACCTGAAGGGTTGTGCGCTCGATCCCTGGTAGAGTACAGCTTTGGAGTGTCAAAATAGGATAAAACAGCTAACCAGTACTACCTCCTTATGATTGTTATTATTATTATTGTTATTTAAACGCATAAAAAAACTTGGTACAATATGGCACCAAGAAGGATGCGCCACACAATAATAATAAAACAACATAGATCAAAAAGAAAAAAAAGAAAAAAAGGAAAGAAGGAAGGAAAACAAAAAAATATATATAAGTAGAGAACGGATAAAGAACTTCATCTGGAAGGAAAACACTCATGCTTAACAAGTTCAAACAGTGTTCGTTAACTATCATCGGGAAGGGAAGAAAGAAGGAAATCGCAACACATTCGCCATTGATTACGTTTCTTGGCCATATCCGATAACGTTTCGAGCCATCGATATGAGCTATCTCTCAGACCCCAACCAGGGAGCCGTGACACATCAACCGATGCTAATCTAGCACAAAAATCCTTCATCCCACGACGCCACGTCATGGACTGACCACCTCTCTGCCTTTTCCATCCCGTCCCAGGAATGGCTAGCGAACAGAGACCTGTGTGGAAGCCTCTGGGGTGACATTCGCACCACATGTCCAAGCCACCGAAGCCGGTGTTTCCAGATGACGACATTCAATGAATGGTGATCTCCACTGTGTTCAAAAACACGCCGCCGAACCTGAGAATTACTCACGCGATGATGCCATCGGACGCAAGCAATCCTGCGGAGACAGCGGTTATCGAACACGCAGAGTCGCCGCACATCCTCAGCTTGGAGAGGCCAGGTTTCACAGGCGTAGAACAGGGCAGCCCGCACCGAAGTATTGTATACCCGACCTTTGACAGCCAGGCTAACGTCGCGGCAGCGCCAGAGGTGGCTCAAGTTGATGTATGCCACCCTAGCCTTCATTTTATACAGTTGGAAATCTCATCCGTCACCCCTCTGCCAGCACTCACACAACTACCCAGATACACAAACTTATCAACAACTTCAAGCGGTTGACCTGCAAGAGTGAGTGCAGGTACAGGCTCCTGCCAATCATGAAACAGTACTTTGCACTTAGACGACGCAAAGCACTTACCATGCTTACAGACACTGATCGCCAACTGTTTAAGTGCGATTTTGGCAGCCTGTATGCTATCGCACAGTAAGACGATGTCGTCTACATACTCGAGGTCGAAAAGTCTATCTCCAGGTAGCAGATCTACACCACCTTCACGCACATCCTTCAGAGCTGACTCCAGAATGTCATCGATGGCAAAGTTAAAGAGAAATGGAGAGATTGGGCAACCCTGTCTAACCCCACTGTTACCCTCTGATGAAACTCTTAACTTTATGAAAAAATGGTTGCGACAATTTCTGGGTATTTGCCTATCACTTATTATTGTTATATTATTATTACTATTATTATTCTCGTGGGTTCCGAGTGGACCATAGCGCTTCAATAACACATCTCCACTCTGTCCTATTCGCTGATGTCCTCTTCAGCTGGCTTGCTCCACGACTGCCCATACCCCCTCATCTCCTCCTTTTTCATACACGACCTCCTTCATGTCACTCTTCGTTTCCTGTTGGGATTCCACTAAAGCGATGGCTTGTATAGCGTGCGATGTCATTCGACAGCCTCCTCAGTGGTGTATAGCCTGATCCATGTGCATTTTCGCCCTACATATTTGTTGATCGATAGGCTGTTAGTTGGCTTGTTGTCAGTCAGAGTTTATATTCGCTAATTCTCTCTTTCCAATCGACCCTTCGATCTTCAGAATGAAGCCAGCGAAGTTGGGAGCTGTTGACAAATGTCTGCAACTCGTTGGGAATCCTTTATGTGACACGCAGTACAAGTTTCTAACCCACAGAGAAGAACTGATTGACTGACTTTATATTTGTGTTGAGCACAATCCGAATCTTGTTGTTTATGCTGAGGAGGAGTGGAGAAGATTTACCAGCTGACTCATGGTTGAGATGAAGACATATCTTACCTTTCGGATTCTGACAGGCTCTGATGTCTTCATCCATATTTTCCTACTGCCTGTTGTTAAAATAGTGCTTACTAGCCAAATAAGTGAATGAAGAAACCTCTTTCAGATTTTGAACAAAGCAAGAACTACAGTTTTAGCAGAATAAATTGGTACCATCATTGTTTATTTCGTTGCCTTCTCGTCAGCTGCTTACATGGCAAAGACATTATTAAATATATCTACAACAACTATTTTAACATACTTGCATAGAGTTCAGTTTAAACAAAAGTCAATCGATCAATATACGCATACACTAAAAATATATACATATATAAATATGCAATATTAACCACTATTCCGAACAATAATAATCAAACACAATGGAAACTTTTAGCATTTCACATTCGGAAGAAAGAGAGGTGAAATTATCCAGTTACCAGGCTGAGCAAAGAAAGACTGGCAATCGCTTCTTTCTGGTGGACGCATAAATCAGGTTTCAGGCTCTTGATTGAAATGGCTCCAGCAAACTTAAGGAGAATTGAGCTCTTTTGCCTATTGATAATTTTGAACGACTTTTCGATGTCCACCTCATGACCCGTGTCGAGGAGATGCCTGGCGATCGATGGCACTGTATAAAGCATTTGTTCCCTCTATACGTGAGCTTTTTAGTAAATGTTCAGAAAATCGTAGATATGCCCTTCTTTCTGTCCTTCCAATGTAACTGCTACCGCAGATACATGTGAATTTGTATATACAGTTGGAGGTAACAACATGAGAAGGATATCTATCGATTTTTGATTGCACCAAAGGAGAGCAAGTTGTTCGATAAACGGGAACGAGCTTAGCTGCAGGATAGGCTATGGCTAGTGATGTACTCAGCCTTCTGTTGATCCCGTTGATAGTGGTTAGAGCCGTTTTTTGTCTCTGATGGTTGGTTGTCTTCATCACCCCCATCTTCTCCATTTGCACCTGGTCTTCTGTCTTCGCTGCCTTTCTCTTCAGCCAGTTGGTTGGTCTATCGCCTGCCTTCAAGTCTTAGAGTTTGTGTGACATTGAAAATATAAGTCATCCGTACATGAAATACAGATCTCCTAGAATCTTCTTTTCTGTCCTCCAGCGTGTTCTTGTCTTCTTACGCCCACTCACAATCTGATGCATAAGCCAGTCCATTTGCCAGTCTACTTAGACAACTCCAATGCTCAAGAACTTCATGCAATTCTTCCCATTAATAAACTTGAATAAAGCAAGAACAACAATTGTACCAGAGGATAATATCAGCTTATCTTTTATCATTTGGAGGTTTCTTTTCAACTGGTTACAACCTGAACGATAAAAGAATATGAATTACATTAAAGATGTCAACATACTTTTCCACGGTCACA